ATTATTTAAATAAACTTTTAAAGGATGTTGCTCATGTGTTGTTCATGTTGACTAAGTTATAAGCAGTAAATATGTATACAAGTCAGACTTCATTACTTATTATATTTTGAATGTAAAGTTACTTATGTGGTATTTACTTTGTTAATTTTTCAACCAGACGCAACCAAGGTATTAATCTTTGTAAATTTAAATAATATGTTTGATTTAGAAACTTGTATAATCTATTAAAACTTTATATGGTTATTCATAGTGAACACCAATATTTTAGAAATCATGAATATTTTTGGAACTATATGTCAAACTAATTTTCTTCTTTTATTTTGGTCAACAAACACATTTTATAAATCACTTACTCTCCAAACATGGAGAAAATGTTTACAAAACATGATAATAAAGCCAAATTGGCTAAAAGATCCAATGCTACAAAAGCAATTCGGAGAACAAACATAAAAACATACATAAAGATAGATGCAACCATAATACTTAAAACACTAAAGACATGGAGAAGTCCTATAAAATCAACGTCAATAATGCTAAAAGGTGAGATGAAGCAAAGGAAATTAAAGAGCATAACTAGAACCACCGCTGCAACACAAAGTGCAGTAATAAGATAGCCATAAGTGGAAAAGAAGAGAATAACAAGGCCTTGCACCACCAGTGCAATGCCTGCTATCTCGTTCAGAACCGATCCCAACAAGAGGGAGGTAAATGGGACATCTGAGTCTGAAGAAATTTAGAGCAAGGTGAAACCTGCAGAAAATACATCCTTGAGCCGTTGCAGAGATGATTGATTCAGAGATTTCACTGGGCTTGGACCGAAACAAAGCAAGGTTCCAAAAACTTTCAGCAAACTGACATTGAATAAGGGATCTGAATTCTTCCTCCAAATAGTCAAAACTCTTACATAATTCATACTCTGTGAAATACTCTTCCCATCTGAAAGGGAAGAGGAAAGATCGACAATCTCCATAGAGGAGTAAACATAATAATGGATTTCCAAAAACAGCAGAAACAAATGATATAAGAGATTGTAAAATACCATTAATTTCAAAAGCTCCAAGAAGGAGAAACTGCTGAGATGTAACCAATCCTCACAATGAGGTAAAACGAGCCTCATACTGAGGTTAACGAAAGTCAGCCAAAGGTTCCCTGAATGAGTCGGCTCGAAAAGTAAGGTCACAGAAACAATACCTTTCAGAGGCAACATCCGAGAAAATGAGAACCAAAACCTCCACCGTAGAGCGGAGTACAACTGGTATCTGCAAGATGTCGGAGAAAATCGCAAGGAAACCTTAAAAGAGATACCAAAGAACCTAGGGTGTCCCACGCCAGATTCGGAAGAGGCCTTCAACGAACTTGATGCATACACGACAGATCCCAGATCGGGAGGGTCCGGTGGGACTGGCAGAGAAGGAACAAGGAGATCATCACGCTCAATGGCAAAAGGGACTGCCGAATGAGTGGAGGACAGCAGATCCGAGGGAAACTTCATGGAGCACCAAAGCAGAGGAAGAATCGCCATCAGAAATGAAGAGGAGGGGGAAAGAGGAAAGAAATTCTCACCAGCGAGCATGAGGCTCGCCGGCGGCGGCGGCTAAGTCTTCAAAACCCTAATCGCCAAGAGAGGAGAGGAGAGAGGAGAGAGCTTTTTTCTTTTTTACACATGGTTCTTTTATCTTTGGATTTACATTATTCACTTGTTTCTCTAATTTTCTTCTTAGATCTTGTTTTTTGTTATTTTAAATATTTTTAATGGTAATTTTATATTTTATATTAATTATCTAATTTTATGCAGGTTTGATATACTTAAAACATATATATATATATTTAATTAATCTCTTTTGTTATTGATTTTTCAAATAGGTAGCATATATATTAATCAAATATCTTTTACATAAATACTTTTTTTTTGTTAAATTTACTTTTTAAATTAATTAAAATACTATTTTGACATGCTATAACTGGTTATTCTAAATTTTAAGTGAACTTCTCTCAAAAGCTTATACCATCATTTGCTTTTTTTAGTTAATATTTGTTTGATAATTAGCCTAAATATCAATCTAATTTTACTGTATACGAATTTTTCCTTAGATAAATTACCTCTCTTGATATTGATTTTTATTTTATTTTAATACACCATTATTTTTAAAATATTGATATTTTGAAGACATAAATTTTTTGTTAGTTAAATATTTTTATATGAATTTTTTAAGTAGTTAGTCAGATATCAATTCAATATATTTTTAAGTATCTTAAAAAAAAATATTTTGTAAAACTTAATTTCTGTTTTAGTTTTTTAGTTAATTAATTTCTTAATATTGATTTCTTAAATAATTAGCTTAAATATTTATTATTTTTGTTAGTTAAGTTTTTAGTATTATTTAAGTTTTTTTTATTCTCTTACTTATTCTGTTTATATTGATTTTGTTAAATAAATAACATATATATTAAATTAATATCCTATTTTTGTTAATTTAACTTTCTCGATATGAACTTTCATTTTAATTATATTGACATGTTGTAAGAAATAATTTATATTTTGGTTTTTGTTAGTTAAACATTTTTTATATTGCTTTCTTCAGTAATTAGCATAAAGTATCATTTTTGGTTTGTTAAGATTTTTATGTTAATGTTTTAAATATTTCCCCCAAAATTATAAGTTTTAGATGACTTTCTTTTTTGATAATTTAAGATGAATATTTTTTTGGTAGTATTGATATTTTTAAATAACAGTTTTATATGTTTATATGAAAATTTAATCTTAATATTTTTTTCTAAATAAATTACTCATTTAAAATATATATGCTAATTTTTTTTTAATTTAACTTTTTCGTTATTGATTTACATATTTGTTTTTGTTAGTTTAGTTTTTGTGACAATGAGTTTCATTTTATTTTCACAATAGATTTGGACTTTTGACATAAATTTATTTTATTTAGTTAAAAAAATTTATCTTAACTTTTCATTCTATTGTGATAATTTTATATTTTTGTATGTTTTAATTTATTTAAATTATTAATAATATTTTTTTATTTTTTTATGTTTAATGAAAAACGCTGATATATACTAATCAGATTGAGTATATATGTCTAATGTGGACGCTCTCATTGGTCTAAGACATCAACACAGACCATAACTAATATATTTTAAGTTAGCAGTTCAGATTTTAATTGTTTGTCGTGATTAAAATTTTAAAATAATTTAATTATGGTTTTAAATACAGTTTTTAATAATTTTGTTCAATATATATGATTTTTTTTTCATAATCTATGTTAATTTACTTTTTTATTGTTAATAGAAAAATAAGATCTATTTTCAAAACTCTTTTTTATTAATAACTAACTTAAAATTTAGAAATTTTCTATTCATGTATATAATGGTATCTAGATTTTTCTAGGTCTTAATATAAACTTTAACTTATCTCTCTCTCTTTTCGATCTGCAAAACATGAATTCAAATTCAATCCCGAATATAGGTTTCATTGCGTGTCAAAGCTATGGAAGTCCAAACTTGACCGTCCAGATTTCAGAGAATTGTTCTTGACCAAATCCTCCGCTCAGCCGCGTATCATATTCGCCATGGAAGATAAGGGACTGTGGAGCATCTTCTCATTGCCTCAGCCATCTCTTGCAGTACACGCCGAGTTTCATATGAAGTTCCCTCCAGAGAATATGCAGATCTATCCTCGTAATGACCGACAATTTGCATGTGGCTATGCCTCCGGTTTGGTCTATTTCTATGGTATGTGGATCAAAAAAGAGGATTAGGATAGAGTGCATGTGGAATGTAACCCTAAAACGGGACGGTATGCGACCTTACCTTTACTCTTCAGGTACAGAAGGTCGTATAGTTTTATGGGGTCTGATCCGATTGGGAAGCAGTTCAAGGTATTGTTCATGGCTTATCCAACTTGTCCTGATCATCATAAAATTATAACATTGGGAACTGGAGAAACGAAGTGGAGAAGGATAAGATGTTCCTTAAGACATGATATTGTGAGTGAAGGGATGTGCATCAATGGGGTTTTGTATTACTTAGGTGTCACGTCTGAATATTTTACGGCTGAGAAAATTGTGATAGTTTGCTTTGATGTTAGGTCAGAGAAATTCAAATTTATTCACCTGGAAAGATTTTGCATGTTGATAAACTATATGGGTAAATTAGGTGTGGTATATAACGATGATTACCATGATAAGGATGATGATGTCATTGAGTTGCGTGTGTGGGTTCTAGAGGATGTCGAGAAAGAGGAATGGTCGAAATATGCCTACATTTTGAGGGATGAGAAGTTCTCTGTTGATGACTTTTCGGTTGTTGGAGTGACTGCTACGGGTGAAATCGTTTTGTCGATGACCAAGTATACATCTAATGAACCGTTTTACCTTTTCTACTACAACTCCGAAAGGAACACTCTCCAACGTGTTGAAATCAAAGGTTTTGGAGATTATCATGAAGCTTCCGAGTATCCTCGTGGACTCTATGTCTTTATAGACGACTCTAGTAGGTTCTACGCCTTTGCTGACCAAGTAGAGTTTCTTAATGCTCACGATCCGAAGCTACTCAAATCAAGCATCTATGCTCCATATGAGTGGACAGAATCAGAAGGCGAAGAAGATGGTGATGGATCAGGAGAAGAATTAGAAGATTCAGATTCAGAATCAGAATCAGAATCATCAGGAGAAGATAAATCACAAGGAGAAGGAGAAGGGTAAGATAGAGACGACAGTTGGAGTTAGGTGAAAGCAATGGGCATGTCATCTTTTGCTCTTATGTAAGCGTTTATGCTCTTTAGTTATTTTTTCTTTAAATGTCATCTCTCCTAATTCAGTTCTAAATCAATAATAAAACATCGACCGTTTCTCATCATACATGTTGTTAAAAGCATACATGTTGACTCTTCTTATCCTGTTGTGGATGTTCACACACTCATTGTTTTTGTCAAGGACCAAAATATCAGAGCAAAAACATTTAGCCGTATCAAGTAACATGCGCAGAAAGGACCCATCAATACTGACATTATGAGAAATGTACAAGTTCTCACTCTCTCTGGCACTGATTACATCTTCATGAAAACGAAATATGTACCATAGAAAACTAATCTGTACTGCAGAAGAAGAAAAATTGAAAATGTCTAAGCATAATAAAAACAGGGCACACATACCCTGAAGAAGGATTAAACTTTAGAAACTAGAGGTTGTCTCTCAGCCCTTAAATGCACCATTTGTGATGGACCTGAAATAAATAAAATGGTCTCTAAGAGGTATAGGCATTATATATGCGTGTCTGTAGAAAAAAAATAGAACATTGTAACTTCAAACGCTAAGAGCAAAATCAAACGACTAAGAATAATACATATAGGGAATACACACACCTCGCAGAAGGATTAAACTTCATGAGCAAGAATCTTAGCCATTTTAGAGCTTCATTTGTGATGGACTTGAAATATGCGACATTGTATATATGTTTTGATTTGAAAGCATATCAAAAGTTTACAATTTATAATTTCCCTGAAGTTCTTCCGCAAGTCTGTTCTTATTCTGGTTCTCGTTGTTTTATCTAGAATTTCAGAGATACTTGAACAATTAGAACCCACAAATAAAAATATTTAGATACAAAGGAGATCACATTGTATCAGTATAACTCATGGCCATGGTACATATACATATAAAATCCCTACACCTTCACAAAAGGATGGTCTCCATCTGTTACTATTTTCAAACAGTAACAGAGAACTATCTATAGAAATTAAACTAGAGAGTTAGTTAAGTAAGTGAGGAAGCTAGTAAGAGAATAAGCAAAGAAGCATGAAGCTAGTAAGCAAGAAATCAAAGAAAAACTGAGGAAGCACACACAGAACCAAAGAAGGAACCAAACACGCACAGAACCAAAGATGGATTGAAGAAACGAGCCAGCCAATTGCGAGTGGGTAAAAAACTAAAACAGATCGAAGGGAAAGAACAAATAGCAAAACAAATTGATGAAAACCTAGACATTATTCAACAAAAACGCAACAAAAACAAAACTCCAAAAAAAAAATTCGGATTTAAAAGCCTACTTGTGTTAACGGAGGGAGAGAGAAGAAGAAGACACAGAAGCGAAGCTCCTCCTCTTCAATCAAACGGCTATTCTTCCATTGGGCTTTACAATGACTTCAATTAATTTGAATCCAAGGATATTTCAAATTTCAAATCCGAAAATATATGAAAAAGCGCAAGGGCCAAACGGCCCATGTATTAGTAACCGTTGGAAACGGGATTTTAAAATTTGGTTTAAAACTGTTCGTACCGGACCTGAAAAAGGCCCAATTAATCAGCTTGGCCCAAATCAGATTTCAGGTCCAAGATCAGCTAAGCTCAAATCAACTCTCCAGCCCAAGAAAAGAGAAGAGACTTTCGGGTCCAAATTCGAAGATAAAGTCTAACAAAGCCTGTTCTGCCAGAAAAACCCACAAAGCCCAGCGGCACCACCGCTTTAAATCTATATTATTAAACGCGAAGTCAGAAACTCACCACAGCGCTTCTATCCGAGACATGATCTCATATACCATTCTCTCTCAAATTATAATCTTTTATATACCTCAATAATCTACATACTCCTCTTATTAATAAATTACCAATTTTACCTTTAATGAATTTAATCAGAAATTGTTTTTTTTTTAAAAAAAATATCCCACTCTCTCTCCTTCAACCATAACCCACGACGAACTCTCCTCTCCCCTCCTCCATTGTTGCCGTCGCCGTTGCCGTCGCCGATCTGGTTCTTCCGAGCTCGTTTCTCCGCCGTCGCCATTCTGGAGCCGTCAGAAGCTGTAGTGAATGCTCAAATGCTTTTTAAATTGAGGTAAACTATATGTTTAAAGATTTGAAAATCAAATGCTCAAATGCTTCTTTGGATATATTGTGTTTTAGCATGATTTATGGGTTGATTATGACTATAAATTGATAATAAATAGATTGTATGGGTTGAATTGAGTTGAATCGTATTCAATTGTAGATTAGAATGAATTGAACATAAAATCCAATCTGAGTTCATGCGAAGAACTACTGGGTAGAACTGGGTATTACTAATAAATGTATAATTATGGATAACTAGTCACTAGTATCACTGATTAATAAAGTATAACTTGGTACATCTAGGTATTACTGAGTGTATAACTGTGGATAACTAATCACTACTATCATTGATTAGTAATGTATAATTTGGTACAACTGGGTATTACTGATTGTATAACTGTGGATAACTAGTCACTAGTATCACTTATTAGGAAAGTATAACTTGGTACAACTGAGTATTACTTATTGTATAACTGTGGATAACTAGTATTACTATCACTGATTAATAAAGTATAACTTAGTACAACTAGGTATTACTTATTGTATAACTGTGGATAACTAGTATTACTGATTGAATTTTTGTATTGTTTTGTCAGGATACAATGAGTAACAACAGCATCATACATTTTAAATGCAAAGGTCGGCAAGATAGTATATTATTGAAGACACCAACGACGGAAGTAACTTTGGCGTTGATAGAAGCTAGAATATGCAAAAAGGTTGATTTAGATGAAAGTATGGTGAAGTTGAAATTGAGTTACACTCCACTGCTGGTGGGACATGAGGAAGAGTGGATTATTTCTGATGATGAGGATCTTTGTGTTTATCTGGCCTCCATTGATAATGAGAATCGTAGATGTCTTCTGCATGTGGAGGTCATCACTATTTCAGAAGAGCTGCCAGATAAGCTTTCGAAAGCGAGGGATAAAAGTTTTGGTGGTGTGAACTATGAGGAGTTGCATTCGAAGGATGATGAAGTTGCAGATAATGCCATGATTGTGTACAACCAACAAGCAGAACAACAACATGAGGCGATAGAGAAGGATGATGAGACTAGAGAGGGTGATGAATCTGTGGATATACGCAATGAATATGGTGAGTTGCGACCTGTTGTAGAAGCTACTTAGTTTATGGAGGCATGGGAAGACGGTTTGGGTCTATATTTACATCAAGAATTTCCAAATAAGAAGGCAGTGCAGGATTTGGTGGATAGAGGCTCATTTGTGAATTGTTTTGATTTTGCTACAGAGAAGTCAGATAAGGTCCGATTAGTGTTGAAATGCCGTCAAGGAAGCTGTAGTTGGGGTTTACGAGCTGCAAAGATTAAAGGTACATATTTTTTCTCGATTAGAACGTATTGTAAGATGCATACATGCTCTCGGGCTAGTCAGAGTTCAAGCAGCCATAGGAGGAAAGGCACACCACGATTAGTTGCATCTCTTTTGCATGATGATTATCCAGGCCTAATGGACACTCCGGCTCCTAAAAGTATCATGCATCTTGTTCAGGCAAAAATTGGTGTGAGAGTATCATACTCCACTGCGTTGCGAGGGAAAAACCAAGCTGTTTCTGATTTGCGTGGTAATCCAGAAGACAGCTACAAGATGTTGTATTGTTATTTGTACATGCTGGAAAACGCCAATCCAGGTACAATAACAAGGGTGAGGTTGGATAAAAATGGAAAATTCAAGTATCTATTCATTGCTTTCGGAGCTAGCATAGAAAGGTTTAAATGCATGAGGAAAGTGATAGTTGTGGATGCAACTTTTCTGAAGAACGGGTTTGGTGGTGTACTAGTTTTTGCTTCAGCTCAGGATCCTAATCGGCATAATTACCCTATAGCATTTGCTGTACTCGATGGTGAGAATAATGCTAGTTGGACCTAGTTTTTCGAGATGCTGAAATCTGTTGTGGCGGACACTTCCGAATTGGTATTTATGAGTGACAGAAATCTAAGCCTCATCAGCGCCATAGCTAATGTGTATCCGAGCTCTCATCATGATTATTGCGTATGGCATTTATCCCAAAATGTGAAAGGTCATGCTTCTAACGTCAATAAAGATGTGGTTGCTTGGAGATTCATGGAGTGTAGTAGGTTTTACACGGTGGCTGAGTTTGAGCGTGCTTATAGTCATTTCCAGATGAGATATCCTTCTGCAGCAAAGTATCTTGGGCAAGGTGTTATTTTCCTGGAGACAGATACAACTTAGATACAAGCAACACTGTGAATCTTTAAACAGTACTTTTAGGATCGCAAGGACATACTCCTTAATACCCATGGTTGATGCGATCGTGAAAACAATTTGTGATTGGTTTAATGATCACAGAAAGGAGGCCGTTGCAGGACCGGTTGAACAGAAACTGGTGCCTTTAGTGGAGAACTTGTTGCATGATATATGGAAGGATGCTAAGAAATTACATGTGGATGAGTTAAACAGTTTCGGGCTTGAATACAATGTCATTGGTTCTGATGGAAAGTCTTATTTGGTGAATTTACTCTCGAAAAGTTGCAGCTGCAGGGTGTTTGATATTGATAAGTATCCTTGTATGCACGGACTAGCGGCTTTCATTACATTCCATTCTAATGAAGATAGAGTTCGCGATATCTAGCTACATGAATTGTGTTCAAGATATTATTGGGTGGAGCAGTGGGCATTGGCGTATCACAGGACAATTTATTTAGTGCCTCATCAGTCTGAGTGGAATATCCCTGATTATATCAAAGAAGTGCAGATCATGCCTCCAAATCGCATCAACAAGAAGGGAAGGAAGAGAATAAAAAGCTTTCCATCTGCTAGAGAAAGACGTCCTAGGACTCCACATAAAAGGCGACCAAGACAAGGATTTGAATGGTTGTTATTTGGAAATTGTAGTAGTGTTTGATTTTTGTATTTTCTGGCTTGTAAAACTGTGTACAACTGTGTACAACCGTGTAGAACTATGTAAAACTGCCTTTCACAGCATTTTGAATATTGGATAACTACAATAAAATGTGTACAACTGTGTAAAACTATGCAAAACTGAGATTATTTATCTTACTGGTATTACTGGTATTACTAATTATAATTGATAATAGAAAAAAATAGTTTTTATTTTTACAAAACCAAAACCAAAAGCTATTAAACACTCTACTTATTATGTATTAACTTGATAATGTGTATTAATTAGGGCATTGTGAAATTATACTTGTATATAATGTGTATTAATACTTTACTCATACACAATACTCCTTATACTTGTAAGATCATTTTGTAAATAATAACTAACTTAAAATGACAAAGTTACAGACATAATAATTTTAATCATATCAATACATAAATCAATCAGAATTATATGCTAATCAATGTATATAGACTGTAAAACTAAAGAAAAACAATTTAAGAGTGGGTAATACTAAATAAATTGGAAAACACCCAAAGTATTACTATTTGGAACTTTCGTATAACTACTATATTCTGTACAACTATGAGTAAAAAATTTTGGCGCCAATACCCAAAATTCCCAATTTTTTGGCGCCAATACCCAAAATTCCCAATTTTTTGGTGCCAATACCCAAATTTCCCCATTTTTTGGCGCCAATACACAAAATTACTCTCTCTTCCACTCCACAATCTCATATTTTCCTCACCCTCTTTCTCTCTCCTCTCAATCATGATTTCTTATCCTCTCCTCACCTCTCTTTCAGTTCTGATTTCTTATATCTCTTCTCGAGCTCTTAACTATGAACCCGAGCTATAGTGACGCCAAGAAGAACAAGTGGCTACGCGACAGGCTCTTCTATGTCACTGATTGTCACTATGGCATTCCGAAAAAATGTCCATGTGGTGGAAAAATTATAGAGGAGACCTCTCAAAATGCAGCCGACCTAGGAACAAGATACTTGACCTGCAGTGAGTTTGAGGTATTGACTCTATAATTTATGCTTTCAAAGTTGCTTTTTGTTTCAATTAATTGGTTTCTTGATCCTATATTTGTTTTGATCTGTAGAATGATGGTTACCACATTAGGCAAAGATGGGTTCAAGCTATCGAAGATGAAATTTTTAGCTTAAAGGACAATGTTGCTGACCATGAAGTTCAAAACAGACAAATGCGTTATGAGCTAAAAAAAATGCTGAAGAGATTGCAAAGCTGAAGGAGTTAGTGGCGAGTGTTGTAGGTCGTGATGTTTAACTTATCTTTGTCCTTTGTTGTTTCTCTTGTTTATCTCTAAGACTTATCTATGTTTGAACTCATGAATGATCTATGCTTTGTTTTCTAAGACTTGTTTTAGTTTTGTAAGACTTATGTCTCACTAGTAATACCAGTCGTACGAAAACAAATAACACAGTTATACATAGTAGCACCAGTAGTATGAATTCGAAACAAACAACACAGTTGTGCTTAGTAATACCAGTA